ACAATATACATGTTAAGGGGTCAGACCACTTGATCAATGACCTTGGCCTTTTTCAGTTTTGGTAAACAGTTGAATCTTACAATACTGCCCTAACCCTAAATCATCCTGATGATATTGAGTTGGGTTGGCTCAATTTCTTCACTTCTTTTTTTCTTTATATAAGTTCTCAATTCTTAAACTTAGGTTGTGTTTGGTATCATGGAATGACCATGAAATATTATGTTTTGGAACACACAATGACAGCTAAGAACATTCGGTTGGCCTATGGTGTGAATCGATTCACACTATSTTATGGATCAGTCCACACCATGGGTCAATTTCTCGTCCATAGGTTTTTTTCGTGGATCAAAACACGTTACCCCATTGTATGTTATGAAAACTGATCCCATGCTTCGCATCAGATGCATACCTTAACGTAAATCCATTTTTTTACTGTTGCAACCTCTCTTACAGAGCACTACCGCTGCCCCTTGCTTCTCCACTCATCGTTGTAACTCCAACTACCGCTACTTGCTTCACCACTTTCCATTGCAACTCCAACCATTTCTCCACCGGCAATAAGTTCTCCTTCTCCGTCTACTCTTACTTACCTCTGTTTCATGTTTGTTTTACAGTTGATGAATAAGTACTTATTCTTTGATTCTTTTGCCATGTGACTAGTTACGTGTTTACATATCTACATGTGTATGTATTGTGAGAAATGAAATTTCTCTTCGCCTATAGAATTATAAAAGCAATTAACAGATATTCTCTACATCTGTAGAATAAAAAACGAAAGTCAGTAGCCCCCCTAGTGTTTTTGGTCCTTCTTGATCTGAGCTTAATGTTGGGCTTTTGCAATTTACTTCCTGCCCCAACATTCAAAACCTACAAAAGGCTGTCACACAGTGATTATGGAAAGAGGCAACCTTACTTTGTCAAGCATTTTACTAGAAATCAAAACCCATTTTCACGCTTACTTCGCAGGAGAAAGGGGCAACCTTCTATGACAAATGGGACCCATTTATTTATCTTTACATGATTTGTTTTAAAATTTTTTATGGGTAGTTGCAATGAATTAGATGTTTGAGTCTTAGAGAGTCTTGGCCACAACCATGGCTATGTATACAAACCATTTAACTAGGTTTAGATTTCCAGGTAAAATGCATATCATAGATATCTGACTTAGTATTCCTCATTTTAATTCCCTTTGATTATTGGTTCTCACATACTAATCTTGGTGAAAATTGAACCAATTCTATCTCTCCCTCTATTGGGACCCTGTCAATTCAACTGTAAAGATGCAACCAACACTCCCAAATTTCTCCAGCTTAGTCGAGCTCAGGAATGTAATTGGCATCTAATTGAAGTTTTCTTTGAGGATGAATAAACCATGAAGGTCCACAATATATAGATATTATAGTTAACAGTCTTGCATAATCTGAATTTTGGTCAAATTGACTATAATTTATAGTGTTTGATCTAGAGGTACAATTTGTTTAATGTAAGACTGTATACAATTTGATGTTTGCAACAAATTACATGAACACATGCTCCTTTGAGGAAAATTTCTTTGAGTCAACATTTTGTTTTGTTCAATTTTGAGGCAGAATTCCTATGGTTAAGAGTGGGCATTACTTGCATAATCTGAATTTTGGTCACTCTCTTCTAACTTGGAGCCTTATGCTAATTGGACTAGGTTGGATTTCTAAGTAGCAAGTTACTGATATGAATAGTTGGATTCTCATGAAGTCATTGTTTGAAACTCTTTACTCCCAAGCTCATGTTCTTCTTTTAGCTAGTTTTAAGAGGTCAAGTAGTGGCAGTGTCATACATTGGAATCTTGATAAGAAAATAAATTGTGGCTTCAGATTTAATATTTTGATTCAGTCCAATCAATTTTCAGGTTGAACAAACAGTCATAATACTTTGCATTAGCTTAAATTGCATGCCATTAGAGTCATCCTTTGATTTCTGATAGAACTTTACCAATTTCCAGGCTGGGTTCATGCCAAACTGTAATAGTAATTTGCATTTGCATATCTTGGTGGACCATTTAACTTGTCGCACTTTAGATTCAGCTTTATCCAAAAAGAATCATAATGGCTATCAGCTTACTTGGTAGGATTCAACATCACCTCAGGATGCTTCTTACGTCTAGGGTAATTGCAGCAGAGACAATACCCAATTGCCTCAAGGAGGAATTTTATCTATATCATCTTTGTGTTATATCAAGTGTTACTGTATTTCTTATGACCGGAGATCATATTCTTTTTATTTTTTTAAGTAGTTTCGAAATATTTACTTGTAGGAATTGCAAAATGTTTGATATCTTCCATATATGAATTGAAAATCTAGTTTATAGGAAGTGTTGATTCCTATATAACTCCCTTCATTCCCGACTACCCCTTCTCTTCTTTTTTGCTTTCTTTTTCGGTGCTTCTTTCTAGTTGGTGAGCTTAAAGTGGATGGGTAGTATGTGCTATTTGCACACTTGATGTCTTCTCTCTTGCAAGTTATATGTTTCTAGTTGCTTTAGAACATAGCCAGTGAGATCCTCCGTGGCATGTTCTGTGAATATTATCTAGGTTCTTTTTCTGCCTTCTATTTTCAACTTTTATTGGTATGATATGGAAGTTGGTACCTCTTGTCATTTTCTGGTCCCTGTGGAAAGAACACAATGAGAAATGTTCAATGCAAAAGTCTCTCCCTGGAAGCAGTAATAAGAAGAATGGAGAGATCCTACTTTCCTGTGGGTGAGCATTTACAAGGAGTTCACAAGATCCACATGCTTACATTTTTTCCTCTCTATAGGATCATTGGTATCAAATCTTATGGGATGATTCCTTCAATGTATTGTTGTGATGATGTATCTGTTATTTGTTCGTGTTACATATGTTTTCTATTTTTTTTTTTTTTGTTGGTGTGTTACGTGGCCTTTGTATGCTTCTTTAGGAATGCTTTACCTCCTTTTAATATAATTACCACCATTTCTCAAAAAAAAAAATCTCTACTTAGTGAACCCAGAGCTAATAGTTTAGGAAACAAAGAATAGAAATCTATTTGGATAACATCTACAATGAAGTTCATTATGTTTTTAAGTTAACTATGCATGAATAGCTAGTGGATTTGTTGGTAGGGATTGCATCTTTGTTCATGCTTTGGTGGTGCATGTATTTTGGGGTAAGGTGGGTTAATAAGCATCTTATTTTTGGTAAGAAAAAGCATCTGATTAAAATCGAATTTCTGTTTAAATAATGTTAATTTCTTAATAGTGAACTCTCCAATCTCCACTTCTTTAGCAAGAAGACTATAGAGGACTTTAAATTGGTGTAAAACTACTTAGATCCAAAGCCTAAAGCTCATGCACCATTGTTAATTATTATGGATATTATTTTATTAATTGTTAAGTTTTGAATAGTATTTTTATTAATATTAATTATTATTGATATTATTGTTAGACAGTGTATGCCCTCAGCTCCAATCAGATTGATGTACATATATATCTATTGTAAATGAATAAAAGTATATTATTATTTCATGTTGATATCAAGGTTCTAAATATCGATACGCTCGATACGTCGGTAGGGGCATATCAGGCAATATCGGTATTGTTTTTTTATTTTTTTTTCAAATCTGGTTCAAGAGGGTCGATTTAAGGTTCCTCCACCCCCTGAACTAGTCAAAATCCCAATACACCCTCTGTAGGGGTGTATCGGGGGCTCTCGATACGATACCAATATGGGCCGATACGTAACGATTTTTTGAACCTTGGTTGATGTTGGTATGTTTCTATAAAATTACCCCTTAAACTGGACACTTATGAGACTCGTGTTAGTTTAGAATGTTCTCAGCTATTGGATAGACTTGTGGAATTTATCCTACAAAGGCTAACACTAATGTGCTACCAAAGAAATTGGGGTAGCTTGTCTTAGCTGCCAGGGTTAGACCCAAAGTACATGTAGTGTATTTTTGGATGAAACACTGAACTCGGACCATTTTCTAGTTATGTCCTGGACCTTGGAGATTGATGGGCAAAACTAGAAAGTTACACATAACCCCTAGATTTGATTATGGTACTACACTAGGTGTTGGATTGGTTTGTCTTTAATATGCTAATCAGTGAGATCCAATAAGGGTCAAAACCTGGGTATGTTAGGCAATCTAAGAATTCACTTGAGTGGGTGATCATAGTGATAGGATCGGCCCCTTTGTCGGGCAAAGTGAATAATAAGGCTTACACTCTCCCTTATGGAAACCTAAACTGTCGGCAATGGATTTCAACTGTGTATGAGATTTGGTTTTGCAAAATATATTTATATGATATATAAATAAATAAATATATATATATATATTATGTTTTATGAAAAACGTTTACAAAAGGTTTTAATTCTCATAATCCATTTAAGTAGAGAGTGTGCCATTGTACCTTGCAGCCAAGGGAAAAGTCATTCCCTATCAACTAGTGTTGTGATCATTATGGGTCGAGAGAGTAAGTGTAAGAAACTATTGCAGAGTTGATTACCTGATAGGCTTTATATTACTTAAGTCCATTATCCTTGGATCTTCATTAGATGGCTGAATTCAAGAATCATTTAAGTGTAAATGTTGGGCCTATATTGAGCACATAGTGATGTACTCAGGGGTCCATTGCGTTTAATAGGGAATTTAGCCAAGCCTTTTCATAGAGGCTGGGCCTTGGCCAAACCCATGTGGACTTATGTAAGGTCATTGTGGGGTCCCACACCATGCAAATCAGGCCTAAGTTGGCCATGCAATATCTTGGGTCATGAGCCTTTGAAGGAAATGGGCCTAAGGCCCATAATTAATAAGATTAAATAAGTTGTCATGTGCTCAGGGTTAAATCTGGGTTTGGAAATGGGTATGGAGCACTCATCCTCTTAAGAGGATAAGGCTTATCTCTTAATAGAGTCCAGATCCAAATCAGACTTGGATAATCTCTTAATTTGATTAGGAGAAGTGCTCCATAAGGAAATAAAAGAAGAGGGTGAACCAAACTAAAACACCACTCTCGCTTGTTTTCTCTTCTTCTCTTTTGTCTTCCAAAAACCCTATCACGACCTAGGCTTTTAAGGACTGATAGAAATCAATTTTCTTCTGATTGTTGCAAAAAAATTCAAAGAAATCTCAGTCTCACCTTCCCCAGTTCGATCTAAGAAGTTGAGTTGCAGTTTTGTTGAAAACTATGTTGTTGAATCAGCTTCACCTATACACTGCACCATGTTCAGTGGAGGTTGGTTTTAGAATTGATTTGGGCATGAACTTCCACCTTGGGATCTGCATTTATGGTATCCATATCAGGTATAAATCTCCATATTTGTTTGATTTCAAATCTAATCTGGTTCAATGTAAGACTGATTCTAAAAAATGTAGTTTTTTAAAACATAGGGAATTCAATTCACAAAAATATTAGGAAATTTTTGAAATTTCACCCAGCCATCTAGCATGGTTCGGCCACCCATATAATGGATCGTAACCCTTCCAACAATTATTACTTATTATTAATATTATTTTTATTAATTGTTAATATTCTTAACAATTTACTAATATTTTTTTATTGTGTATATTACTAAAAAATAAAATAGTATTTTTTTAATGATTAATGGCATAGATCATCTCAAATTTTGTAATTGGGATGCATGGAATCAAACACAAGGTGTGGATTGAAATACGCCACACCTTACAAAACACCCATGGAGGTGTGGTGTGATTCGATCAACACATCTTTGTTCATGGTGCAGAACAACTATATCCTATTGGAGTGTGGTGTGGATGAAAACAAACCACCCAAATTCTCATCTATGCTACATAACACCCCTAGATTAAGGTTATATAGCGACAAAGTTATAGTGATCAAGAGCCAATGCTCGAATATAGGAATCAATGAAAGAAATTAGAGTATGAGATATTTTGAATTTGAAAAGTTGCCTTAATTATATTAATTAATGACAAAGAGAGCAATCAATTATAGGAATTATGTATAGAAATTAATAAGAGAGAATGTATTTAAAAAATTAGAGCATATTGGCAATGGCAGATACAGTAATAGCAACAGTCTATGGATGTGGGTGGAAGAATTTTGGCCATTCCACCATGCCACACATGCACTTTTATCCTTTGTTCGGTTTTTGGACTGAATCGATAGTAGTTTTGGTGTGATAGCCGTTTGATAACAGCTGAAGTTGTTGAACTAAAAGACTTATTGCTTTTTCTTTTAGTTGTTAAAATAATTAAATAAGGATATAGTGGTCTACCCAACTTCAGTTTCAGCTATTAAAGAACCCCCAAACCCTTAAAAAATCTTATTCACTAAAAACAAAGTGATAAGCCTTTCAGTTTGAGTTCAGATCTTCTCTTCACAGAGCGCTCCTCACGCCAACCTTACATCATGTACCATCCGCACAATAAGAACATCTCCCGTTCTTGTATGTTATTATTATTCATGGGAGATGTTCCCAATACACAGTGGAATGTGGCTGTCAGGAACAGATCCCAATTCTTCAGTTCAGCATCTTCAGCTGTTATCAAACAGCAATATTATTTATCACTGGCGTGTTCTGTAATATACTAATATGTAGCTATTTATCAAAAAAATACTAATATGTAGGTGTCTAATGTAGACTTGGCACCAAGGAAATGAATCTTCAATGTGGCAAATTAGTAATATTGACAGAATAAACCCCCATATCTAGACAGTTAAACATAAGATTACATTTTCTTAGTAAAACAATTGATTTCATTAATTTAGATTTAAGCATATTACACAATAGTGCATATTACAAGTGAACCCAGCTCCCTTTACAATTTGATGAAAGTTTCAACTGTAAATATTACTTGTAGAAAACTAATGAATGGTGGAGCACAGGGCGGATATGGACAGGAGAATCGAAAACTCAGTATTTTAAAAAATCTTATTAATACTTAGAAATATAAATTATAAGGATCATTTTTTTCTTTATTTTGTTTTTCAATTTCCTGGTTAAACATTTGGATAGTAACATTTGTTTAAATTGAAAGTAGCTTAATAGTTAAACAAAACCCATGTTATCTCAATTCTTACGCATCATAGTAATATAGTATAGTGGTGAGTGTTCCTACATGTCACGTGGGTGACTCTGTTTTTATTCTTAAGGAAAAAAAGGAGAAGAAAGATACATCTTTTTATTTMTTGAGTTAGAATTAGCTCGAAACAGTTCTCAGATGTTGCAGTCTAAATCCAAACTAGGATGGGATGGACCAACACAAATATGATGAAGTCTGTTCAACAATGTATAACAAAAATGTTGTGAACCCACAACTTTCTTTTCTTTTTGGGTTCCTTTGTGGTTGGAGGAGTCTACACCATTGTTAGCAATTTTCTGAACAATTTATTAATAACTTGGCTGGTAAAAATTTGGGGATACAAATACATAATTTTATGTTTTATGATATATGCATAAAACTAGTAAATTTATAACAAATTACCTATAAAAGATGCCAAATTTTTAAAGTTAAAACATATTATAGACAAATATATATTTTATTGTTTTTACCAAATTTTTATCTTTAAAAATGAACAAAACATGAACTTTTCCTGCACCAAATTTTTGTGATATGCCAAAAGCCAAATTGATAGCAATGGCCCACAATACCGATTATGATCACTTGATATATTGGTTTGGCATAGTTCTCTAACATAAAACATTATGATGTTTAATTCTAGGCAATTCTTAAGGAAAAGTACAGGCTAATGTATAACCCCCATAGGTTTCTTTAATAACCACAGTTTTCCTGATGTGAAACAGAGGAATGTGTGGACATCCAGTATTTAGGTTTATAATGCCATATCCCTGTGATATACTCCCAATGTCGTATCATACTGTATCCAGATCTTAACATGGTATGATTCATCCCAGCTGTTGCACTCGATAACTACATGCTTCTCTATTTTTCCCTTCTTCTCTTCGTAATTTTTTTTTCATTATGCATATACTTTTTTCATGGAAAAAATGGTCAGATTGTCCAATACATGCACCAAGTTTTTGCTCTATATTGCAGAAAAATGGTTTGAATATTTGTGTGTTTACAGTTTAGAAGTGCGGGATACTAAGATTACTTGGCCTCTTATTCTGTAAGGATAGATCATACCCCATAGAATCCTGCTATCACCATTTGCTGATTAGAATGTCACAGGAATGAGTATCTAATATGTCCATTCATGCAAGAGGAATACATAGTTCAACTGGGCACTATCTTGTAGTTTGACATTGCCACTAATATTCTAGACTACATAAGATTAAATGATATATATATATATAATATATATAATATATATAGATAAATGGGGTGAAGAGAAAATTAGAAAAAGAAGTATATACCAACATACAGGAATGTGAACTTACCCATCTGAACTGCACAAACAAGGTCACATTTATTAAACATGAACTTCAGCATGTTTATTAACCGGTGACAGTGACTCTCTATTGTGGGGTTTAGAGAGTACTTCATGTTCACAACCAGTAGGAATGATTGGTCGAATGCTGCCTGGATTCAGTGGGAAAAGAATCTTGTAATAACCATTCATAATTTCTTCAAGGTTGCAGGTTTCTGCGACCTTTGGAATCTGCAAAAGGGAGTTAGCAGATAGGACATGAATACACTACTCAAAATTAAAAAGAAACTTCAACTTTAAAATCATCGGACCTGTTAAGGATGTTAATGTGGTTATTAAAGACAGACATTATGCAATTATGCAAGCAAAGAACTATATTGGCTCACTGAAGGGTCTAATGGGAAAAAAAGGATATACTAGTGTAAAAAGTGAAGACATCGTGCAAAAATGACAAAAAAAGAGATAAAAGCAAAGAACCGGGGGGGTTAATTAATTTGTGAAGGTTCTAACAAAGCTTATGCTTCTGTGCATAACTGTATATCTAACCGTACAATTGCACTCAAGTCCCAGAAGCTTTGACAATGAATGATTAACATTGCCCTTTAAGGTTCAGTTCCACCTAAGTTCCCTTTAAATTATGATGTGAGCTTACATGCTTCAGTATGTAAACCTTCAAATAGTTTTGAGCTAAGTATTTTATACGTTTACTAATTTCTACTGAAGTGAAAAAGAAGTTATGCCATAACTATCATCAAAATCTTGAAAATGGTTCCATATTTGGGCATCCTTTTGTTTTATAGTTTTATATTTTCAAGAAGAAAATCATCTTACTATGTGGGCAGGACATGTCAATACACGATCTCTCCTATTGCACTAAAATGCCAAATCACAAAGTAGTTTGCCAAAAGTTATTATACATCTATATGTGCTTTTAACTTAAGTGAAGAAATTTCCAAGTCAAGACAGACAAAAAAGACCCAAGTCTATAGCTCCTATGATTGAGAAACCACAAGGCAACCCCAAGAGAACATCTGTTAGGATCCAGCTTATCCACCCCAAAAGAAAAATAGAAGATGGACAAACAAAAACAATTAATTGAAACTGGTCAGGGGGTGCATACTTGATATATGTCGCACATATATCCATGGAGATTGGGATACTCCAGCAACTTTTTCTTTGTGCATTTGAAGAGAACATTATAGGCAAGGTCAAACCGAATTAAAGTAGTGAACAGGCAAATATCAGCAAGTGTAAGCGCATCTCCACATAAGTACCGAGAACTGGCCAGATGATCATCCAGCATGTCCAGTGTACTAAATAACTGTTTCACTGCAGTGTCATACGCTTCTTGGCTCTGCGCAAATCCACATCTGTGTTTTGGGAATATCGTCAGATGGACTGTATACAATGACAATGACAATGACAATAACAATAACAATTTGGGCCGTTGCAAATACTGAAAAATCATACATTACCTGTAGACCCCATTATTCACATTGGGGTAAATTATACGATTCCATTCTTCAATCTGACCCTTCAACGATGGCGGCGAAAGATCCACACTTGAATTACCCACTGCTCCGTTAAAACCCGAATTGAACAATTCGATGATATCGTAGCTCTCATTACACAATACTTCTTTTCTTTCAACGTCCCAAAGCATTGGAACTGATGCTCGTCCATCGTAACCCTCTCGCTGCAGCCCATAAACCTCTTTCAGAGTCTTGCATCGATTGATGTTATTGACACTTGGCATAAGATCATTGGCGTTGCCAGTGCGGAATTCATGAAATTCCCAAGCGCCATCGATGCCAGGAGAAGCCACCGAAATGGGCACAGCTTCTTCGAGGCCTTTGAGAGCTCTAACAATTAAGGTCCGGTGAGCCCACGGGCAAGGCAATCCTACAAACAGGTGGAGGGTGCCTGGTTTCAGGCGGGAAAAAAGAGATGAATCGGAGTTGATGCGGAATTTGCTGGCAGGTCGAGTGTAGGAGCCAGAGGGATCAGAAGGAGCGAGCTGTTTCATCATTAGATGCCAAGTGGCGTTCCAAGTCGTGCGGACGGTGGAGATGAGGAGTTGAGGCGGAAGGGATTTGCCCCATAGCAGCCTGGAGATGGTTGTGAGGACGTTCAAGTTTGGAGACCGTTGCTGCTGCAGGGATATCCGAGGGCTGACGTGGCAAGTTCTGCTTTTGGTTTTGGTTGTTCTAATGTTCTTCTTAGTTGTCAAAGGAATTGCAGGACTGAGAAACGATGTAGCGCAGGCAGTGGCCATTAACAGGGCGCGTTTGGCTTTAGGTATTGAAATGAAAAGCCCCCCTAAAGCCAAATATCAAGGACTTGAGGGAACTCGGGGAAATTTTTGAAACTGGATTTTTTATCTACTATCAACTGTGAAGTAGGGAGTGGGGCCAACTATGCATTTATGGGTCAAATCTCTCTCTCTCTCTCATAAGAGAGGAAGCACGTGAACATGTTTTATAATTATGAATATCATACATACAAATACAAAAGATATTGCAATATTCATGATTTGAGGTGTTGATAAATGATTTGAGGGCTCATTGTGTGCGTCCGGAAACAGTTTAATTGGATGAATTGAAGTCGCTGCCACCCATCAGTTTATGGAAATAGGATTTTTAAGAATGATGTTAAAATCATTTAACGTTTTACAATATTTTAAAGCGCAGGCATTGACTATATTAGTCCGAATAAGATTCAAATGGGGGAGGGAAGGGTTAAGCAACCCTCTCCTGCATCTAATAAGTGGGGCCCACATAGAAAATTCATAACAAACTTAAGCAATCTCATGATAATCATCAATCAGCATGATAGCATTAAAAACCCACAATATAATTAAAATATACATATACACACACATAATATATATATATAAGTGTAGATGCAATGTGAAATTTTTTTGGACTAAAATTGCCATTTATTTTTTTGTTTGAGAAAGGGTATAAAAGTCATTTTATTATAGCTTTAATAACAGCTTTAATGGCTACATAATGGTTATATTTGTGTATTTAATCCATCTCTAATTGTAATGTTTGAAAATGTAACTTCAATTATTATTTTCTAGCTCATTTAATCCCCTCTCATTAACTCTTATATTTAAGGTATTAAATTCCATTTTTTCTTATTAAATCCTATATTTCTAAGTTACTTTCACTTATAAATGTTACTAATTAGATCTATGACAATATTTTAACAATATAAACCGATAATTTTAAAACCGACTAAAAAATAAAATCATTCTTTATCCAAGTGGTGGCTAAGCAATTCAACAATCTTAATCAAATTGGTCAACTTATAAATTCATAGTTAGGTAATAAAATTTTAAAATAGAAATAAATATAGAAAATTACACAAAATTAGACACATTTATGATATTTTTTATTAATCAAAATAAAAAATAAGTGTAATAAATAAGAATTATTTTTAATCATAATAGAAATGAAATACATAATTTAGAATTGCCCAAAAATGAAATATAAAAACTAATAGTAAACAGTTCAACTTTTGGGTTAAATGCGTTAACCTTTATTGTCATAAATAAATAATAAAATTTTAAAAATACATAAATTTTGCAAATAAAAAGCAATCGACACATGTATAATATCATGTATTTGTCATATTAAACAAAAAATAAGTGTGACATATCAAAATTATTTTTACACACAAAAAATACAAAAAAAATACAGAAAAAAATTGAACACATCTATAATTATATGTTTACACTACTATTAAAAATATGAATAAGATTGTGAAACTTTCTTTTGATAAAATCAAGGTTTTAAAAACCAACCCAAAAACGGAATCATTTTGGCTTTTAATTTCTTGGCTAGCGAGTCAAAGTCCACTGTATATATACATTATTATGAGAGGAGAGTTGAAAGTTTGAGAAGGAGGTAGGGGTGGCCATGAGTCGAGCTCTTCACAAGCTATTCGAGCTCGGCTCA